CTCAATGGATAGAGCGCTGGACTGTTGTGCGGGAGGTCGAGGGTTCGAGTCCCGGCCGGACCAACACTCAGGGTCTTAAAATAATTGAGAAGAATATGCTACCTTTCTATAACATCAAGGAATGGTTAGATATTCTAGTCTTCTCGGATAGGGACGAATAAATGGAGGTCTCGTCTCCTGCAGGGTTAGAGGCAGGAGACTTTAATTTCTCACGCAAGAGATTACCGTGTGATGGATGTCCTCCCCTGGGGTGGGATGGGTGGGTATTTCTTGCTAAGAATCATTGCATAGATGGAGAGCAAGTATTAGGAAAATAAAATAAATAAATAAAACAGAAAAAGGGTTCGCGACCGGAAATAAATTCCGAGTAGGCAGTTTTCGGTCAGTCTTGGCGGACCTGACGTATTTCACCACCTAAAAAACTAGCACAAGAAAAAAAGCCGTCTTGCTCTTTCCGTTGTACCTTTGCATTAGCCTAGAACTGCTATTTTTTTTCTCCCTATTCTATGTCTTTTTCCAATTTTATAGTAATTTCAAAACGTTTTGTCGACAACACAGGATAATTCTAGTGGTATCGAATGGTCTTTGCGAGCACCTGCCAGAATGCGAGCAGTGTTTATTTTTGCGAGCACGAGCAGTTGTCAAATTTTTCTTGCGAGCAGCAAGCTCTATAGAAAATACATATGGCGAGCAGCGACTTTGCGCTAACCGGAATCTTTCTTTTATTGATAGGATACGTCGATTTGCGCCAAGTAATACCTAATAGTCTGGCTGACACCTCCAAAACAGAACAATAGGTGCAAAGCGAGGGCGGTTCAACCAGCATCTTACAACCAATTGTGTCCTGCTTGATGCCAATTTACGTCACGTAGTTTCATGTCAGTCAGTCAGTGTGGACGCTCAAGAACTTACCAGATCCAAAGCCTGCGGTCTAGAGTTTGCCATCTCTTGCTAGCCCGACGCTATAGTGGAAGGCATGTTTTTTTGGTTATATGCTTCTTATGAAATGTAAATAACGTTACATTCGGCCTAACAAGCACTTCGGGCCTTTGATTCGATGATCGGCAAACTATTTTTCCGCTTATTGACTGAAAAGGATTCAACGCAATGAAGCTTTATTTGTTTGGAGGCTTCTAGAATCTAATCAACTACAGCCGTACAGATCTGACAAGCTCTAGTGGTAGCTCTGAACGTCAAACAGTACTGGTAATATTAGTATTTCTCCAGATTACTTTCTACTTTCGCGGGTGCCTTTCGAGAACAATTCTTACATTTCGTGTTTCCACGCGACATGGAGATAGTTTTTACACATTTCTCCTCGTTTGGCTAGGCCTTAAGTTTTTTTATCAAAGTAATTAAAGCAACATTTCATTTAAGAATTCCTTGAGCCGGTGAAGCCCAAACGACCGAGGGTTGTTATTGATGTTGTTTTGCTTAATTGGGTTTCATATGCCACCGTTTGGCATCAGATTATAATAGTTATTATTACTAGTGGCCAGGAGGCTTCCAAGGTTGAAAAAACCGCCACAAAATGCGATCCGAGTACACTGTTTCAAAATATTATTACCCCGTCCATTTTATTACTCATGCCCACCGTGAAAATCCATCATATCTACAAACCCTGATAATTGCTAAAATAAATGGAAATTTAGATCAACAAAGGTTCCCAAAAAATGCTGTGTCCACAGGAGATTACGTCACCTCCCGTCATGTCGAGTTTCGTCTTAACTCAGGCAGTGTGCGCACTCTGATTGCGTTGCATCATGGTCGTAAAATAAAAATTGAGTCATTTGCATCTTGACGCGTTGGAGTGAACTTCTTTTGTGGCAGCGAGATTGCGTGAATATACGTGGATTGTAATGGAGATTCACCGTCTGTTACCGTTCCTTCGAAAGTTAAAACGTTTGACGGGCCTGTGCTACTCCTGTCATTCCTCCATGACGAATTCGTTCGTAGGAGGCAACTGACATTATTAAGAAAGATTCGAAACTGCAATCTGCCTAAGAGTTTCGACACAAATGGCAACAGTTACACCCACAACCGATGACGGGATAAAAAGTTTCAAAGACAGAAATTATATTCGTAGACGCGAGTTATTTAACAGGGAATTGACCCTTGACATACAAACGCATATTAATGAGACAGAAACCTTGTAATACACGAACTTTTTCCACCAGACGTAAATACGGGATCTTTGAAAGGAGAAGCCCAACGCCTTCTAAGATCGAAGTTGTCTCGCTCCACGGTTAGTAAAAAACGTACAGAGTTTCAAAATACCCTTCGAGAGTGGAGGAAACCTAGATGAGGGTTTTTAGAATTGTATCTCCGAAGTTATTTCTGCAGGAGAGAAGTAGACTTTAAAACAGAGAAAATAGCGCGCGCGCAGAAGAAAGTATTGCCTAGGCCTGTTGTAACATAATCTCACCCAGCTTTTTAAGACCTCAAGAACATATAGATGGGGAAATAACACCTCAAAACTGACCCATATTATCACATCACAAAGGAAAGTTATCAAGAGATATCCTAATGAGAGTTAAACTTTGGGGGTAGAAAATTTAAAAGCGCTGGTGAATGGTAGGAGACACACAGGTCTATCAACAGCTTTCAACGGTCGACTGACTTTTGCTTTCCGGCTCTCCGGCGTGTAGCCTCACGCAAGGTACAGCTTTTCATAGATCAGGTGACTCTTTTCATTGCTCTAATTAGACCGTCCTTCCTTCAATGATCAAGATAGAAGATTTACCACACAACACTCGCGATTAGTTCATTTTCTTTCACTTAGCAAAGTAGATTTACAACACGATTGAGTACGTATCATGAATGTCCTTGCTGTAGTAACACTATGTAACACAATACACTAAATGCAACAATGGGCCTTTTCGCTCCGTAAAAGGGTCTCAAACAGTATCACTTAAAATGCATAAACACTTGTACTGTTGGAGCGCGTTTGAGGGCGTTTGATCTTAGCTGTTGAAGAAAGATCAAAGTGGCCATCAAATCTTTGAAAGGCTTCAAACTACGGCGTACAACGAATTTGACCTTCTCGAAAACCGGTCTCAAATTACATGCTGAAAAAAGTGCTTGGGTTTGTGCTTGAGAACGATAGAATACGCGATAAATACGCACTTTTAAATTGAATGGGACCATTCGATACCCCTAATTCTTTCATATCCTTTCACAGATAAGAAAGACCGTGACATCCGCGTAAGGACAATATTACTATTTTTCCATGTACTGCAAATGGCAAGGTCAGTTATCTTACTTACTAGCTCCAAAGTGAATCACCATATGAAACGGAGATATTGGAAGTCTACCTCTGACAAAGGGGCTTTTTAAGCTCCACGATCTGAAGAGAGGCTCAAACTTTGGTGGTACTCTACATTTAATAAAGTACTCTACATTTAATAAAGCATGAAATAGAAACTGCATACTTACCAGTCCCCTGGGGACTGAACAACCGCAGTTGTTTGGACAAGTTACTGGGAACTGACTGCACTGATCAAAATGATCCTAGTGGAGATAAGACGTAGTAAGAACATGCAGCATTAAAGGTCGTATAAAAGGTGACAGAGATCTTTTTGTTATGTTTGCTGCCACTCTGTGCCAGGTGGAACAGTTTCCACAGTAACAGGTTGTAAACCAATAGAGATAACATAAATGGATTTATTCTAACACAGAGCTTTGTTTGAAAAATTGATCATTCATTGTCAATAATTATATTGAGGAGGCAACAATACATATCATGTTAAAATACTTATTTAAACAATATCTACCTGCATATGACACTGTGGTCGTGGTTCACTACAGTGATCGCAATTGACAATTCTCCACTCACAGAAAACGCTAACATGGTACGAGAGGTGTTGCCTTTGCACCTTCAAGAGACAGTTTAAGTTGGGACAAGGGACAGCTTTATAAACGCAAGAAGACAAGTGAACCTAGGAAAAAATACAGTCTTTAATTTTGAGGATGATAATTAACTCCTAGTACATCGATCAATGGTGGGTCAGGTGGTTGACGATCATGCAACAATATTTAATTAAAGGCACGTTTTTTTAGTAATTTGTCCTCGCCTTGACTTAAATAAGTCATCGAAGCATAATGTGTTCTCTCTTAAAGATAAAGTAAATAATGAGTCAGTTAAAAAATGATCACCCCAGGGTATTGGTCACTCGAGCCTTAAAAGCTGTCGGTGTGTCATTTATTATTTTATTTATTTAATTGAAGATTTGCGCTCTAATTACAACGTACGGGTAGTACGAATAGTAAGACATTATGTCCGTGCAAGATATAGAATCAGCTCTCGAGTCAGTAAGGCCTTTGATGTTGCTGTTCATTTGTGTCCTAAGTTGAGCTCACCTCTTTTTCTCTAAGTTCCCCAGTCCATTCACAATCTTCACTTGGACATTTGATACTAAAAGAAAGAATTTTTCTCTCTGTTGCTTTGTCAGGAAAAACATCCTAGAGGTGCAATAAATAACAACACACAATTTGAAAATGGTATAAGAGAAGGACATAAATTAACTCACTTTCTTAAGAGCGAAAAAAAACTCAAGCATTCAGATGAAGTGCTCCAGGAGTAAGTTATTGATGCTATTGATGACACTTCTGTTTCATGTTATGATGACCGAACTTTACGTTTACTCGGGTCCAAGTTTCATACAATTTTAAGTTTATTGTCAACAAAAGAGGGTGCCCTCTTCAAAATCGTCCCACGTGCGCTACTTCAAAGGAAACCATAAAAACTTATATCACTGTAATGCATACAAGTTAGGAAAATATTTTGATAGTTCAGTTTTGTTCTGGTAGACATGCGCGAGCCTTAACTGAAAGACAGAACTACCAGCCCTCGCGTTACCTCAGACATCCAAACAAACCGAACCGTATCACTCAGCAGATGCCTCCCTTAAATGAATTAAACGGGTATTTAAAAGTTACGGATTGCCTTAATTTTGGTCCTGAGACTCTTAAGATACCAACCTAAAAACACGCTGGGAAATTCCGTTTTTCAAATGATCTCCCGCATTGGCCTCCGGTGTAATGCGTATCGGTAAAAATTTGATGAGTAAACTTGTCGGATAAATCGCAAAGCAAGTAATTATAAAATCTAAAAATCTCCACACTCTTTTGAGGACCAAACCCTCGTGATTGAATGTGAGCAGAAATTTATTTTTGCAGTCAGATTTGATATGCGATAAATTCGCGCAAAGAAACATCTTCCATTTCGAATTGTCCCGCCCCATTTACTTTACATTTAGTTCATGCTAAACCGAGATAACTTTTGTCCGAATAGTGTATTTCATAAGCTTGTTAAATGATGTACAGTTCACAGGGTGGTTAAGCTTCAGATAGCGCGTTAAAACCTTTTTTCGCGAAGCACACCCACGAAGGTCTTCCGAAAGTACCAGATACTTTTACTTTGTCTCACTGAATCTTAGCTCCTGTTGGGTCGAACCTACAGAAGCATTTACGTTTTACCCAGAGTGTTCGAAACAGGACAACAATCACCGTATGGATTGTGTCCTTTAATCATCTCAGCTAAAAATGATTAACTACATTAGATGGTATAATCTAACCGCCTCCCGGTTAGCGGTTAGCTAAATTGGTTGGAGCGCCGGATTGTTGTGCGGGAGGCCGGATCAGCACTCAAGGTCTTAAAATACCTGAGGTGAACGTGCTACCTTTTTATAATATCAAGAAATGGATAGACATTCTAGTCTTCTCGGATAAGGACGAATAAACCGTAGGTCCCGTCTCCCGCATCTATTAATTAGTTAATTTGGTTAAGCAGGGGACGCTAAAGTCCCTATGACACCTATTTTTAGCATTAAATCACAAAAATAGAAGCATGCAGAGGGTGTCTGGTAAAATTTGTGAATGATTCTGATGCGTCTATGTTATTTTACGAGGCGATAAAAGTCCGAAATTGTAGCGAACTTAAGCTTCCCGTATCTCTTTGGCCGCGTGAAAGAGTACTGGTACCCAGACATTTGTGACGTCACGGTAGTAAGACCAAGTTTATCAAAGTAGCCAAGTGAGTGTAGAATCTATTGTTTACGATCTTTTGAGCCAAAAAAATGCCGTTTTGATGTGTAGTTTAGGGTTGTTCAAGTACCCCTGACTCAAAGAAGTATATTTCGCTCCACGAGATTCCTTTCGAGGACGATCAAATGCCAGAGACTATGAAAAGGCGAAAGAGGTGGATTCAGTTTATGAGCGTAGTGCGCTATATCACTGGACACCGACTTCGAATGCACGCATATGTTTAATAGCATAATTATTTGCTTATAAGCCAATCCTGGCTATAAGCCGAGACCCTAAACTTTCAGAAGCTGTTGGATATTTATGTAAAATAAGCCATAAGTGGACACCGACTTCGAGTTCACGCATTTGTTCAATACGCAATCATTTGCCTATAAGCCGAGACCAAAATTTTGATGAAATATCGCAAAAAAGGTTCTGAGACAAATGGCGAGCTTAAAATGTCAGCAAAACAAAATACAATGAGCTATTATTAGCTGTATTCGAAGTATCCCGTAATAGATCGAACACTTCTGGAGTGGTTTTCGCCTTCTCGAAGCAGAGTAGTCAGGATAAAATTCAATGTTGGGAGGCAAAGCCTCACCTAATTTCTGTCAGATCGTGTTACTTAGCCGTGGGAACGGCCGTTTCTGGTTGCCCAGTTGCAGATGTTGTCAAAACAAGTCAAAGCAGCTACTCATTCTTTACGGGAATCAGAGAATAAATTCTACTGCTAAAGGTGAAGGAATTGTGCAGTGATCCAAAGTTAAAAGGGCTTGAGAAGAAATTCCAGAGGAGATGATGGAGAAATCATCTACGACATGCGGGATTTCGAACGCGCTCAACGGCACAGAAGATGATAACATTTACGCGGATGAAATTGCCTGAACTAGCGGACGATAGGAATGCCTTGAGGCCGACAGCAAAGTAGACGACAAATTAATGTTCATTCTTGAAGTTATCACTAAACAAAACGGCTCCACTCACATTAAAAGTAATTGGGCAACTATAATTTTGCGTAAGACTAGTAATTTGTCTCTTGATAATTGCGCGGCTTTTAGCCGAATAGACATTCGATTTACGGTATTCTCTCGTAAGAATTTTGTTTTTTAAAGAAAAACTCGGCCGTGGGAACAGCCGAGTTGTTCTTGTTGGTCAGCGGTGAGCGACCAAGATGGACGTCTGAGATTAAGACTCTTAACAAATTGTTGTCACTGCCCGCCTCGACTAGCCTGTGCTACTTGCGGGCAGTGTCAATTATGTAAGGTTTTTCTTTTTCTTTATTTTTCTTGAGTAATTTTTAATCATTGTAACCCCCCACCCTAATGCGAAATAAATTATCGTTGTTGTTGTTGTTCTTGTTGCCGTAAGCCGAACCGCCAGTCTTGTTAACGTTTGATTAGTACCTTCTAGGCAAATAAAATATGGCACATTACAAGCCGGATGATTTCTCAACCGATCGGCTCTCTCGTATCTTCCAGTACAAGCAGCGTTTTGATAGAATCCCTAGCTTCTTTGCTCTTTTGACAACAATGGCCATTAAATTTAACAAGAACTCGGTACATCAATTGCCACAACAACTCCTAATAACAGGTTGTTAGTAAAACGCATAACGGCGTAACGAGTAACGCCGTCACGGCATAACAAGAAACCGTCTAACGGGACTTTTTAAAATGTTATATTATTTTTTTTTTCGGAATTTTCTTTTTTTATTATTATTTCTTTAAATTCTATTATTATTTTTTTAAAAACGTGAACATTATTATTCGTGATTGGCGGGGTTTTTCCCGCCCTTTGGCCAAAGTTACCGCATTTCCGGAGACACTAATAAGTGCGGGCGCACTTTCTCACACTTCCAAGAGGTCAGTCATGGAGGAGAACGATGATGGTAGGGTTTGGACTTTCATTTTCAGTCAGTTAGTTTCCTTTCTTGCTTCTCGATCTTTTCAGTCACAATTTGTTTAGTGTAGTTGCAGGTTTCAGTAATGAGTAGTTTTTGCTTCCAGCGCGCTATTTTTCAATTCTAACAACTTGCGTTTACGATTTTCTGCAGAAGTCATTTTCCTTGGGGAGAGAAGGCTTTCTGGTAAGTGAAAGTTGAATGCTTATTTGATGGTACATAACATTTTCTATTAAAAATGTAACTCACCTCTAACGCTTATTAGTAGTGGTCACCATAGAAGAGCCTTTAAAATCGCTTTGAATGTAGCGATGACGATAAAAAAGTACTTTTAATGTGGATACTAAGCTTACTAATGGCACGTGGCTTTCAAATTCAATTCACAGATGTAGTTAAGTTCTATGCTAAGATGTAGATTCAATACTTCCCTTGTGTAGATGCAGATGTCAAGGATAGTAAACTCACTTCTGGGGTAAGATTTTCCATTTAATAGTAAAATTAAACGAGACTTACATGTAAGTTGAGGTATGATTGTGATTCTACCGAGTTATAAAGTGCTGCCAACTCAGTCTTTAAAAGCTTAATGTGAGTGATTCAAGGCACCA